GTGCAATACCTATCAGTTAATTTCAGCAAAATGGCTATCATCGCAATATGTCACCCAGAGAAGTGAAACCTTTCCTAAGCCAAAAAAAAAGAGAAGGCTGCTATTATGGACATTCTTCTGAAAATGCTAGTTACCTGGCTATTATCCTTACCCACTGATCTGAAATAGGTATGCAGATCAAGAAAGCCAGAACAATGTCAGAACCCCTTATTTGCATACTTAATCAGAAGTCCGAGGATCAGTATGACAGTTAGGCAAATAGCAAAGGCAGAACAAGAAGTCAGCAATGGCAGCCATCACAGGTATATGTGGCAGACAGAGCCTCTGGAAATATCCATATCCTGGCACATATGGGCAATGCCCGACACTGTATAAATCACTCAATGTATGGATGGCAGGTTCTCAAAAATCAAGAATACATACTGACCTACAAAAAAAAAGGCCAATTATAATATTCCAAAAATATAAAACACAATGTTCTATATAAATATGCAGTCTAGTAATGTTTGCACAAAGATATACAGGTGAAACTTGAATAATTAGAATATTGCGCAAAAGTAATTGCAGTAAGTGCTGCAAAAGGGGCCCAAACCAAGTACTGAGTACATATGCATGCTTGTACTTTTCAGAGGTCCGATATTGTTCTATGTACAATCCTTGTTTTATTGATTGCATGTAATAATCTACTTTTTTGAGGTTGTGGATTTGGGGTTCTTGGGGTTTTCATGAGCTGTAAGCCATAATCATCACAATTATGACAAATCACAGCTTGAATTATCTTGCTTTGCATGTAATGAGTCTATCTCATATATTAGTTTCACCTTTTAAGTTGCATTAGTGAAATAAATGATCTTTGCACGATATTCTAATTATTTGAGTTTCACCTGTATAAGGTGTGCAGAGGTTATTAAAGCAGGTGTAATCTCAAAGCCATGGGTGATAATTCCCAGGAGCCATGATGCCAATACCTAAATTATTACAATGAGGATATAGCGGCTAGAGGCATTTCTATTGCAGCCAAAGAAAGTGTAAGTTTCCTGGCTCAAATATGTCCTCTGATTCCAAGACTGCTCTGGCAGTCCCCTGAATAATGCAATAATCTATTAAAATAAAAAGTGTGATTAAATATAACTTTTCATACTGAACCATTGTGTACTTGGGGTAGGCATTCAATGAGGATCTTCAGTTTTAGAAATATCATATATGTATCAACTAGTTTGATTAAAAAAGTTTAAGAGCTAGTTCTCCACAGAAATAGCCAACGTGACCCATAATTATGATTCTAGCTCAGGGTACCTCTTAAAACAATGTTTAAAGCATAACTGCAGCAAATGATAAAAAATATCATCCTCCCTGCATGCTTTTATTTCCGATTTATACTGAGCTTTGGGTGACGGGAGGACGCTAGTTTGTGTCCTCCCTTTACCCTTAGGAGAACTATGGGGAAAAGCCCTAACCCCATAGTTCTCCTTTAAGTCCTATTAGTTCAGTTCACACCATTACATTGCAGCAGTGTGCCCACAAAAAAAAAAAATATATATAGGCCTTGTATTTTGATACAGAGCAGTGTGTTGCAAAGCACTACACCGCATCGCAAAGTGCTGCAGTGCATACAGATGAGCAAAATGTAATTTTGTATTGTATTTGTCATTTCAATTATGTTACAAAAAAGCAAAGAGTGTGATGCATCTTTACAAAACATCACACTGCTGCTTTAGAGCGCACACCAGCGGTTCGGGTAAACGTGCGGTGCTGTTGTGAATGGGCCCTGCGTTGATGTTTTTCAGTAATCTGGAGACAGACTTTGTAGTATTTTACTGTAAGCCCAGGCTGACCTGGTGACGCACCACCAGGGGATGTGTCCATGACAGCTTGGGCTCACAGAAATAGGGGTAAATGGTGCTGGACGCCATTGAACCTGGAAGATGACCAGTGCTGAACTGCAGGGCAGTGAATCTGCACTGAGACAGCATCGGAGGAGAATACTCTAGTGAGGTTTTTCTTTTTGCCCAGCTACACAGTAGTTAAACAAATATATAAAAAATGGCCATATAAGTAAAGCCACAGTGTGCACTCTACCAGATACGACTTACTTTAGGGTCCAGTGACAATTTTTTAAACATCTGAATGACACTTTAAGCGCCTGCACTATATTTGGCAATGCAGCGCACCACAAAGCACAGAGCATTTACATCTGTGCGCTGTGCTACAAGGCAGGTGTGTTTGTTATTAGTGCACTGAAAACTACACAGCTGTCATCCTGTTCCCATTTTTTTTTTTATTTTAAAAAGGGAATAAGTCATTGAGCCAACAGCTTTCTGGTGGCAGCTGCCAATGTCTAACTTACAAAGCTGCATACTATTTACAAGAGAGTCAACTAACTCGCAGCAATGTTAAACAGGTGCTTATCTGCCCACCAAACAGAATGCAGCATGTGCTCAGAAAAGTATATAGCTCGATGAGAGATTTAATTTGAGGTTTGTAGCTGGGAGGAAGGCCACATTAACACGGACATGCACAGCCAAACAGCGTGCGCGTCTGTGGAGAAACCTGTGCCTGAGAGGGAACAGCTGCTGTGTGAAGCCTGCTTAATTCAATGACAGGACAAGGCTGCATGCCAACCCGAACTTGCACATCCGTACAGGTAAGGATGCACACACTTGTCTGTGAGAATGAGGCCTAAATGGCATTGCTAGAAGGAAAAAGGAAATTTAATGATGACCAATGCAGAACAGAGGAATGAAGGAGAGATGTCATGTAGGGAAGCCTGTCATTGAAAGACAACCTATTAGCTATAGTGATAATAGCTCTACAAATAAAATTATAACCCAATTACTAGGGATGCACCGATACCAAGTACCGTACTCGGTACATGTACCAATACTTTGAGCTCCAAGACTAGACTAGAGAACAATTCAAAACTTAGGAGGCAGCTGTCATTTGTAAGGAGCATACAGACTAATGATTTCAGGGCAGTGGTGGAGCGCCAGAGCTAGGTCCCAGCTGCAACCGCTCCAATCCTTGTAGTTCTCACGAAAATGCCAAGTATCGGCACTGGTACTCGAAAAGCATCGGTGCATCCCTACTAATAACATTTAATCTGATTAATATAATATTTCAGAGAAGTGAAAGATCCTCATTAAATGTTCGATTCTTAATTAAACAGAATAGGTAGCCTTAGAAGAAGCGTACCAATTGAAAAGTACCTCTTGTCTACAGTCAGTTGAAGCAGCTCATATGGCTCATCAACATAAACCAGTAATATCACAGGAGCAAGATCATTAGCTCAGTCCATATTGTCTACCTCCGCTATGTCAAGAGGGCAGGTACACTTTAAGCAGTGTAACACATTTTAAGGTAACTAGATGGAGACTGATGCCAATAAGGCAGGAAAAACAGCAACATAAGACATGGAAAACAAGTCTAAAAAGAAAAAAAAAATGCAATGAAACATTTAACTTACATGTAATAGAAGATATGTACAAAATTTTAAAAACCTGAACCTCAAAACATAAAAATGATGCTTTTTTTTTTTTTTTTACTTAAAACAGAATTAAATAAAATATCCATATTTGATGCATGGAGTTGCCGGATATGAAAGTGATTGTTTAAATGCCATGTATATTTTGCAAAGTTTTTTTTTTTTTTTTTCGGGTTATGTTAGGACCATAAATAGTCTCTATAAATACATTAGCTTCTTCATTGAAGAGAACAGCTATGGTCTCTTGTCAATGAAGAGGCTACAAGGTAAGAAAAATCATATACATATATATTTACATACAACAGTGACAACTAACAGTGGGTCTTCAGTCGGTATCTTCTGAACACTAAATCCATCTGCTCTTATCTAAATCACAGATGTCAGTGGTCATTTAAAGAACATCATGCAAAACTATTCATTTACATACGGGCCGAGAGTGATTGCGGCATCTGCCTTGTAAAGTTTGCTGTGAAAACCGGCAAACATGGCGTTTCTCTATTAACTCCCACCTATGTTTATGGTCGCCTACATCGGTCTCTTTGTTGATCAAACAGGTGCTCTTGATGGGATCAGCTATAAGATAAAGTGAACCTATGGACAGGCACATATCCACATATGCATAACCAGCAGGAAATTAGCTTTGAAACAAGTTCTTACATTCCTCTGTAGTAGCAGTCACTTCGGAGAAATTCACCCTCAAAGTTGACAAAATAAATCTTTGCTCATCTTCTCCCCGTGCATCCACTGGCAGCAGGGATTTGGCAGCCGGGAAAGCCTTCTGATGATAAACAAACATCAGGTGCTCAGTCTATAGTGCTTGCAGCTAGATGCCACTGAACATCTGTTTGTTTTAAAAAAAAAAAGCTTATTTACTATTCGCCAAGAATATGTCCATAGCTTGGCCACAGGTTCACTTTAACAGAGGATCTGCAGGGCTGCAAAACTTTACAGCATTATTTGATGAATTCCAACACCAGTGGCGCTGATCACCCTCCACACAACATAGAACTGATTTGGCAGGAGTTCTCTTAATCCGAGCTGGAGACTCACATGCTCACTGCTCCTCAACTACACTTAACAAAAACTGGGTATACTAGACAATGACTGAATAGAGAGCACTATCCACATACACAGTTTGTATTGCAGGCAAGGTAGAGGCATTTTTAAAGCTTTTGCACAGACTTCATATAATCAAATAAAAAAAAGTGTTGGCCTTTACAAGGTTCGACATGCTGAAATAAAAAAACAAAAACAAAAAAACAGTTTATGTATAAAAAAAGAAGTTCCGTTAAAAAATTCCAGCCATTGACCAAAAATATATATATATACTTTTTTTGTAACTGGAAGAGTATGATTAATTAAAATACACCAGTATGATCAGGTTGGAGCCCGATTA